CCCTCTTCGCGGAGGAACGACACAGGACCCTGCGTTGTTCTTTTGTCTGCTCGGCCCTTCCCGGGTTTGCTGCTGGTTCTTCCCGGGTTGGCTACCGACCCTTCCACCTCCGTGGAAGGGCGGTTCCCCCTGCCACTTTCCCCACTTCCACGGGGGAGCGGCACACCGCCAGCCGACTCTCTCGGGGGCTGCTCAGATGTTATTTGGATAGATGTTCCCCTTAGATGTTCCTGGTGCATGTTGTCTCTCTCCTCCTTTATAGTCCTCTTCCACCAATCCCAACTCTGCTACCCACATGCCGAGTATGCTGCTCTCCTCCAATCAGGAGCAGGATCAGCTCCTGCAGGTCATCACTCAAGTTGGCGAGAGGCAGCTGCGTAGAAGTTGTTACTCCCTTCTCAGCGCCATATTGTGGGAGAGCAGATGCATAGAATAAGTCTTAATTCCAGTAACAGTCTAGTCCGAGTTGCTCCCCACACTCAGTAATACAGGAAAATTCAGATGAGTGTTGCAACTTATAGGGTTTCAGGTTGTCCCTTTAAAGAATGAGAGTAATGTGTGTGGCAACATCTACTTGCATATTCAAATAGACCTTGGGTAGTGGAGTCTAATCCAGATGTGCACACAGATAAGTTGAAATTTCTCATGGGTATATAGGTCACCACACACTCATTCCATTGTGTTGCACACAACACTTATTATCCAGGGCCGGGGTACACTATTCTGGCTGGAACATGTGTCACTTGATATGCCTATGGTCACATCATTGGTTTCCACTACAATAATGTGGGGAAAGGGTCCTGGGTGGCCAAAAAAGCAGCTATAAAACAAGTAACTTTGTAATTGATGAAGATGGTATTCCAAATAACTGTTGAAATAACTGTTACTCAACTTTTAAATATTTATTAACAAATTTACACAAGAGAGCACAGTTCAGTTCATATACTTCATTCCACTCAGAATAATGAGAAACCAAAAGTTCCGGTTGAATAACAGAAAAATTTCTGAAGAGCGGTTAACCACTCTCTGTCACAATTCATCATGAAATTGCCCAATACTCACTAAGGTGTGATTCCACCAAAGAATTCTTCCAAACAAATTATACTTCAGGGACTTCTCTCTGTAATCTTGCTATGTTTTGGGGAAGTTTGCCTAATAATAAAGGTATTTCCCATTACAATAAATCATAGGATTTTTTCTTTCTGTGAGTTGTCAGGTAACCATTGAGAGGTGACATATGGTACATGACTTTTCTATACATGTATGTTTCTCATTTCGGAGTCTCTTCATGTGAATTGATTAATGGCAGAAAAATTTTTTCACATTCATTAAATTGACATTTTACTGTATGAATTCTCTGGTGTTAGTTGATGTTTAATTTCTCTTTTTTTAAGATTTTTATTTATTTGACAGAGTTACAGACAGTGAGAGAGACAGAGATAAAGGTCTTCCTTCTGTTGGTTCACTCCTCAAATGGCCACAGTGGCCAGAGATGCACTGATCTGAAGCCAGAAGCCAGGTGCTTCTTCCTAGTCTTCCATGTGGGTGCAGAGGCCCAAGCACTTGGGCTGTCTTCTACTGCTTTCCCAGGCCACAGTAGAGATCTGGATTGAAGAGGGGCAGCTGGGACTAGAACTCGCACCCATATGGGATGCCAGCATAGCAGGTGGAGGATTAATCTATTGCTCCACGGCGCCGGCCTGATGTTTAATTTCTGGCTATGGTTTTTTGAGGTCTATTGCACTTGAAGGATATCACCTTTTTTGAGTTGCATATTATGCAAGCCTGAATTCTATGAAAATATACTTCCACATTCATTACACTCCTAAGAAACCACTTGTGTGAATTTTCTGATGTATAATGCCATTTCTGACAAATGACTTTTTGTCACACTAATAATATTTCTGAACTTCTTCATTTTCTTTAAAAATTTATGTTATTTATTTGAAAGACAGAGTTAGAGACAGACAGAGAAGCAGAAAGTGGTCTTCCAACTGCTAGTTCACTCCCCAGATGGATGCAATGGCTGGAGCTGCAGCGATCCAAAACCAGGAGTCAGGAGTTTCTTCTGGGTCTCCCACGTGGGTGCAGGGCCATCTTCTACTGCTTTCCCAGGCCATAGCAGAGAGCTGGATCAGAAGAGGAGCAACTGGGACTAGAACCAGTGCCCACATGGTATGCCAGCATTTCAGGACAGGGCTTTAACCTACTGTGCCACAGCGCTGGTCCCAACCTTTCTTCCTTATGGGAGTGCCTATTGTATGGGATGTAATTTCCAGCAAAAGTCTCTGTCACATGGTTATGTTGATTTTGCAAAAAGTCCTTCACATTCATTATATCCTTAAGTTCTCTCCCTTGTTGATCTACATGTTATGAGGTATTCCTTCTGACAAAAGGCTTTCCCACATTTATTACAAGATTTCCACCATGTAATAAATTCTCTGATGTTATATTGTGTGATTTTGGCAGAGTTTTCCAACATTCATTCCATTCATAAGGTTTCTCCCCCATGTGAATTCTGATGTTTTATGAGGTGTTACTTATGGATAAAGGCTTTTCCATATGCATTATATCCGAAGTGTTTTCTCCCATATGAATTAGATGATGTGCAATGAGGGCTGAATTATGGGGAAAAGCTTTCCAAGTCATTATGTCCAAAAGGTTTCTCTTCATGTGCATTTTCTGATGCATTCTGAGAGTGACTTATTGCCAAGGGCTTTTCTACAGTCCTTGCATTCATAAAGTCTCTCCCTGGTGTGAATTCTGTGGTGTGATATGAGCTATGATTTATAACATATGATTTATAAGGCTTTTCCACACTTACTAGATTCATAAGGTTTCTGCCCTGTGTAAACTGTTTTGATATGAGTATAACTTATACAAAAAGGCTTTTCCACAGTCATTACATTTATGAGGTTTCTCCCCTGTGTGAATTCGCTGGTGTATGATGAGGTTTGACTTTCGTCCAAAGGCTTTTCCACAGTCATTACATTCATGAGGTTTCTCCCCTGTGTGAATTCGCTGGTGTCTGATGAAGTTTGACTTTTTTTTGTAAAGGCTTTTCCACAGTTCATTGCATTATGAGGTTTCTCCCCTGTGTGAATTCGCTGGTGTATGATGAGGTGTGACTTTTGTCCAAAGGCTTTTCCACAGTCATTACATTATGAGGTTTCTCCCCTGTGTGAATTCGCTGGTGTATGAGGAGGTCTGGCTTTCGTCCAAAGGCTTTTCCACAGTCATTACATTTATGAGGTTTCTCCCCTGTATGAATTCGCTGGTGCATGAGGAGGGATGACTTGTGTCCAAAGGCTTTTCCACAGTCATTACATTTATGAGGTTTCTCCCCTGTGTGAATTCGCTGGTGCATGAGGAGGTCTGGCTTTCGTCCAAAGGCTTTTCCACAGTCATTACATTTATGAGGTTTCTCCCCTGTGGTGAATTCGCTGGTGTATGATGAGGTCTGGCTTTCGTCCAAGGCTTTTCCACAGTCATTACATTTATGAGGTTTCTCCCCTGTGTGAATTTGCTGATGTATGAGCAGGGATGACATTTGTCCAAGGCTTTCCACAGTCATTACATTTATGAGGTTTCTGCCCTGTGTGAATTTGCTGGTGTCTGATGAGGTCTGAGTTTTGTCCAAAGGCTTTTCCACAGTCATTACATTTATGAGGTTTTCTCCCTGTGTGAATTCGCTGATGTTTTCCTTAGGCCTGACTTGTGTCCGAAGGCTTTTCCACAGTCATTACATTTATGAGGTTTCTCCCCTGTGTGAATTCGCTGGTGTATGAGGAGGTCTGGCTTTCGTCCAAAGGCTTTTCCACAGTCATTACATTCATGAGGTTTCTCCCCCGAGTGAATTTGCTGATGTATGATAAGGTCTGGCTTTCGTCCAAAGGCTTTTCCACAGTCATTACATTTTATAAGGTTTCTCCACCGAGTGAATTTGCTGATGTATTATGAGGTCTGGCTTTCGTCCAAAGGCTTTTCCACAGTCATTACATTTATGAGGTTTTCTCCCCTGTGTGAATTCGCTGGTGTATGATGAGGTTTGACTTTCGCCCAAAGGCTTTTCCACAGTCATTACATTTGTGAGGCTTCTCCCTGTGTGAATTCGTGGTGTATGAGGGGGATGACTTGTGTCCAAAGGCTTTTCCACAGTCATTACATTTATGAGGTTTCTCCCCTGTGTGAATTTGCTGGTGTATAAGGAGGGCTGACTTTTTGTCCAAAGGCTTTTCCACAGTCATTACATTATGAGGTTTCTCCCCTGTGTGAATTCGCTGGTGTATGATGAGGTTTGACTTGTGTCCAAAGGCTTTTCCACAGTCATTACATTTCATGAGGTTTCTCCCCTGTGTGAATTCGCTGATGTATTAGGAGGGATGACTTGCGTCCAAAGGCTTTTCCACAGTCATTGCATTTATGAGGTTTCTCCCCCTGTGTGAATTCTCTGGTGTACTATGAGGTCTGACTTCCACAAAAGCCTTTTCCGCATTGAAGGCATTTATAAAGTTTCTCTCTTGTGTGAATTCGCTGATGGTTTATGAGGTATGACTTCTGTGTAAAGGCTTTTCTACAGTCACTACATTCATGAGGTTTCTCCCCTGTGTGAATTTGCTGATGTTTCCTGAGGGACTGAATTTTGTCTAAAGGCTTTTCCACAGTCATTACATTCAGAAGGTGAATTAAAACTGAGTGATTTTCCACAAGGTTTACATGTGTAAAGTTTTTCCCTTGTATTTAGTTTCTGGTTATTGCAAGATGTGACTGGTGAATGACAGGTTCAACATACATAATGTACTTATAAATTTCTTTCTTGTGTGAGTTTGTTGATGCATATTGAGGCTAGAATTTTCATGGATAGCTTTTTCTATTTGCGTTGCTTTTCCAAAAGTGACAGTTGACTTATTACAGTTTTCTGCCATATGAACCCTCTCAGATTTACAGAACATCTTTCTTGTGAAGACTTTTGCTTTGTCCAGTGGGTCCAAATGGCTGCTTCATGATGTGAATATGTCAAGCTGGCTAAGAGGCTCACAGAACTGGAGAGATTTTCCAGGTATCTTAGTGTTATCAAATTTCTCTCCAGCCTGTAGTTGATCAGGCCCACTGGGGGGATACACAGTGTGACATTTATTGCATTCCTCAGGCTTCAATCCTGAATAGATTCCCTTTTTAATAATCAGTGTTGGAACATGGCTTGAATTTAAACTAAGTGTTTTTCTTAATTCAATTCTCTTGAGAGATGATGTCTTGTTATTTTTCATAAAATCCTGATTCAGATTTTTGTCCTGACTTTTCTGGTTGATCCTAATCAGGTCATCCCTTTTCATGACCACTGAAATGAGAAAAAAGCAATCATGTCACTGAATCACATGTAACTGTTCTCCTGGCATACTCATGTAAAGGGAATGAAGTTACTTGTTATCCAAGTGGCATAAGATGTTCACAAAATCAGTATGAGGTAATTATTTGTGACCATTATATGGTTTTTTCTCCTTAATACATTATATACCATGACGTTCCCAGTGTTCAAACATAATCCTTTTTACTATGGGAATTTGTCAAGGATGGTAGAATGACATTTGTGCTATGATGTGTGGGATACCTGCATCTCAAAACAGTGTCAGTTTGAGCCCTGGCTACTCTGCTTTCAGTACAGCTCTCTGCCTATGTAAACTGGAAGGAAGCAGATATGGTTCATGTGCCTGGGAACCTGTGAGAAACCAGGGAAGACTAGAGGGATTCTAGAGTTTTGGCTTCAGACTAGTTAGACCTAAGTGTTGCAGGCATCTGGGAAGTGAGCTAATAGAGGACCTCTTTCTCTCTCTCACTATCACTCTGCCTTTCACAAAGATGAAATAACTATAAAATATTTTAAAGAATGGGCAATATTTAATAAAAATATTCACCCACTACCTAGCAACCATTTTTTTCCCTGTCCTTTTTTCCCAGTTTATTTTTATAAAAATTGTGTGCTTTTTGCTTCTCTGATATCTCAACCATAAACATGAAAAGTTTTACTGATCATTTACTTGCAGGTGGAGAAGAGTGAAATGTGCCTGTACTTTAAGCAGGACAACATTTAAGGAGTAGGATTTAAATCTATGAGTGTTTCATGCTCAGTCTTCCTAGGTAACATCATTTGTGGGATTTTTTCAAATGAAAAATGACTTTGTCTCTACTCTATGACAACTTCCCCCAAATTCCTAAGGACACCCAACACCTTCAGCTTCTCAGAAGTACAACAGGTACAGAAAATTCCCAATATACCACTTTAGTTAAACACTCCCAATCAGTTTGAAGAATTTGTTTCTGCAAACCGGGATGTGTTCATCTTCTTTGAAAGATGGTTTCTAACTCATTCTGAAATCATCAGTGCTGGTTACCTCCTCTAAATTCTTTCTAGAAACATTCCTGTGTGATAATTTGAATTTCTGGAGGCATTTGGATCAGTTGCCTCCTATTTTCACTGAAAGCTTCATTTCCTATGCTTTTCTATCTTTTTATTTGCTTATTTTCAATGATACTGAAAAATAAGAGAGAAATCATACTTTAAACTCCACCCTTAAAGAAATCTGAGTCACTCAACATAACCCCATGAGGCTACTTGACCTTGGGTCTCAAAATCTCATTACTTTCTTGGTGAGTCTAGGATCACTTATTTTCATGTTAATGTAAGTTCATCCTTAGTTTAGGATTTCTTTTTTCAAAGATTACCTTTATTTATTTGAAGGCTAGAATTATAGAGAGAGAGACAGAGAGAAGTCTTCCATCTGCTGGTTCACTCCCCATATGGGAACAACAACCAATGCTGGGCAAAATGAAGTTAGGAGCCAGGAGTGTCTTTCTTGTCTCCCACATGGGTACAGGGGGCCAAGGATTTGGGCCAACCTCTGCTCTTTTCTCAGGTGCAATAGCAGAGAGCTGGATTAGAAGAGGACCAGCTGGGACTTGAACTGGCACCAATATGCAATGCTAGTGTTGCAGGCTGGAGCTTTAACACACTGCACCACAGTGTCATTCCTAGCTTCATAATTTCTGATGTCACAGCACAGAGGCTTACTCATGACCATCTTTTTTTTTTTTTAAAGATTTATTTATTTGAAAGTCAGAGTTATAAGAGAGAGGAGAGGCAAAGAGAGTAAGGTCTTCCAACCAATGGTTCACTCCCCAATTGGCCACAATGGCCAGAACTGTGCTGATCTGAAGCCAGGAGCCAGGAGCTGCTTCTGGGTCTCCCTCAGGTACAGGGGACCAAGGACTTGGACCATCCTCTACTGCTTTCCCAGGCCATAGCCAAGAGCTAGATCAGAAGTGGAGCAACTGGGTCTCAAACTGGTGCCCATATGGGATGCTGGTGCTTCAGGCTATGGTGTTAATTCACTGCGCCACAGCGCCGGCCACATGACCATCTTTTAGCATTTACTTATTTACTTACTTGAGAGTAAGAGAGACAGAATGAAAGATAAAGACAGACTGAAACAGAGGTTTGCCAACTATAGGCTCACTCCTCAAATGTTTCCAACAGACTATAATTTTCTTATTTATTTGAGAGGCACAGAGGAAAAAAAAGAAAGAGACTAAGAAAGAGAGAGAGTTCACATTTATTGATTCAGTCCTGAGCAAGTTCTATGCCTGGGCAAAATCATGAGTGGGAACGCAATCTGAGCAATGAGTTAGAAATAAGTTTCTGGGGGCTGGCATTGTGGCATAGCATAAAGCCACCACCTGCAGTGCCAACATCACTTATGGGCACCAGTTTAAGTCCTAGCTGCTCCACTTCTGATCCAGCACTCTGCTATGGCCTGGGAAAGCAGTAGAAGATGGCCCGAGTCCTTGGACCCCTGTACTCATATGGGAGACCTGGAAGAAGCTCCTGGCTCCTAGCTTCAGATCAGTACAGCTCCAGCCACAACAGCCAATTGGAAGGTGAACCAGTGGATGGAAGACCTTTCTCTCTCTGCCTCTCCTTCTTCTCTCTCTCTGACTTTCAAATACATAAATAAATCTTTAAAAAAAAACAGAAACAGGCTGCCGTGGTGGCTCAATAGGCTAATCCTCTGCCTGCGGCACTGGCACACCAGGTTCTAGTCCTGGTCGGGGTGCTGGATTTTGTCCCAGTTGCCCCTCTTCCAGGCCAGCTCTCTGCTGTGGCCCAGGAGTGCAGTGGAGGATGGCCCAGGTCCTTGGGCCCTGCACCCACATGGGAGACCAGGAGAAGCACCTGGCTCCTGGCTTTGGATCAGCGTGGTGTGCCAGCCACAGCACACCAGCCATGGTGGCCATTGGAGGGTGAACCAATGGCAAAGGAAGACCTTTCTCTCTGTCTCTTTCTCTCACTGTCCACTCTGCCTGTTAAAAAAAAAAAAAAAAAAAAAAAAAACAGAAAAATTAATCTTAAAAAAATAAGTTTCTGTATGTTGCCTAATTAACAAGCACTGAAGGAACTAATAAGTGCATGAAGGGAAAGGTATGAAAGTGTAGAGAAGGACAAGTTAGAATTGGGGGAATGTATCAAACCTAGATAAAAGCCTTAGTAACATCAGAAAATGACTGGATTTTTTTTTTTTTAATCAAAGAACATCTTCACTAAGAACAAAAGTTAGAAAGATATTGGTATCTCTAAATGTCTGTGTCTGATGCACAAAAGCAGCTGTCATCAGGAGTAAGGCTTGAGAAAAATTCATGGAAAGAACACCAGTCAACATCTGCACACTTTCTGCCTTGGCCTCCCTGTCTCTTATGTGCAGACTGACCTGAAAGGCTCAGATTCAAGCATTCATCCACCATCCATGGCTCTTCTCCTTGCTCCAACTTGAAGATCAAGTCAGGTTTGGTAATGCAGTGCCCTATTAATGGAAACAAAGTAAGACTTTGTAAAATCACTATCTTGGGTTATTTAAAGGACTACAGCTTGGTTCAGGAGCTATGCAACAAATGTTCCAATTTGAATCTTTTGTTAGATGGTAGATATTCAGATTATTCATGGACTCAATTTCTAATCCTGCCCAATATTAAACATTATAAAGTGTTCCCTTATTATCAAATAGCAAGAAAATGTTATCACTGGGTGTGTGATGGGTGTCACTCACCCAAGGAGAACAGGCTGCTGTAGGTCTCCAGCATCACATCTCTGTACAGGATTTTCTGAGCATTGTTCATTTTCTGCCATTCTTCCCATGTAAAGTACACAGCCAGGTCTTCAAATGCTGTCATCACCTATAATAATACACTTCCAGTCAACATGTTAACTCTGTCACAAAATAAACACTGACAGTTGTGTATGGATATGAAGGAAAAAAGGAAGGATATGGTTTCACATTAGACTTGTGGAGTGTTTAGAAAGCCACATGGAGCATTCAACAGAGTCAAACCCATGATCTACAGGCTGTGAGACATGCCCAAGCTGGAGGGAACCAGGAGGTTCAAATCACAAAGGCCACATCTGTCAAGGGGAATTGCACAGCAGGCTAGAAGAGGGGCAATACTGACTCTTGACTGGGCAATGTTAAGGAGAAGTATGTAGAAGCATTGAGAAAAAAGGCAAGAAACCATCAGTGAAACTACGATGGGAATGAACAGAAAACAATTTCCAGGAAAACACCATGCATATCATTTCCAATATGTCAGAGAAAAAATATATTAAAGACAGGGCAGACATTTAGCTTAGTGTTGTTTATGATGCCACCTCAGAGTGTCTGTGATTTCCAATGCCAGCTCTAGTTTCTAGCTCCCAGATAATGCAAACCTGGGGAAGCAATGGTGATGTCACCAATGAAGGAGGCCTAGATTCCATTCCTCAATCCTGGCTTCAGTCCTGCCCCACCTGTTTGGTATGGTTATCTAGGAAGTGAATTAATGTGTCAAAGCTCTCTATCTCTCAGTCCATCAACTTTTTTCTCTATCAAGCTAATAAATTTTTTTAAGTAAAAGAGAAAATACAGGTAAGACAAAGAATACAAATTAGCTTTTGCCCTTGTCTATGATTATTCTAGTGATAAACAATTGAAATAACATTATACCTAATTAAAGTGAAAGCAATGGAAATACTTGCCCAAAACATTCAAATGATAAACATTTGAAATAACATTATACATAATTAAATGAAAGCAATGGAATTATTTGCCCAAAAAGAGAACCTGGGAATGTCTGCAGTACAATCTGCATTTGTGACTCACTGAGAAAAATGCTTAGAGATTCGTTTCAGAACCTGCAATAGTCACCAGAATTGTGATCCAGCAGGCTAAGCCTCCACCATCAATGCTGGCATCCCATGTAAACAGAGGACTTGAGTCCTTGCTGCTCCAATTCCAATCTAGTTCCCTGCTAACCTGATTGAAAGAGCAGTGAAAATGGCCTGAGTATTTGGACCCTTCCACCAATGTGGGAGACCCATGGAGTCCCAGGCTCCTGGCTTTGGCCTGGCCCAGTCCCAGCCATTGTGGGCATTTGGGGAATGAACACTAGAAAGAAGATATATCCTTTTGTCTCCCTGGCAGGAGTTCAAAGAAAACTCTAGAGGCCAATGCTGTGGCATAATGGGTAAAGCTGCTGCCTTCAGTGCCAGCATTCCATATGGGGTCTGGTTTGAGTACTGCCTCCTCAACATACAATCTAGCTTTCTGCTATGTCCTGAGAAAGCAGTGGAACATGGTCCAAGTCCCTGGGCCACTGCACCTGCATGGGAGACCCAGAAGCTCTTGGGTCTTGGCTTTGGATTGGCTGAGCTCCGGCCTTTGCAGTAATTTGGAAGGTGAGCCAGCAGATAGAAGACTTTCTCTCTCTGCAACTCTTTCAATAAATAAATGAAATCTTTAAAAAAAAAAAAACCCTCTGGTTTCCTTCTGCACTGAACAGTGGGGAAAAAAAGGATATAATAGAATGAATAAAGAATAATAAATACATTACCAAGAAAACATCAGCTTCACTGTGGAGGAATAATTCTGTAAAAATAGAAATATATAGGAAAATGCATCCACCTATATTAAGTGGCACAGATTAAACAGAAGTTATCATTGGTTTAACAAAAGCATTATCTACAAATTTTGTAAAATAATAATGTAAAAGTAAAAGAAAAGTTGAGTGTTCAAATGAATAAGGTTATCAGAGATAAACATTATGTTGTTATTAAAGTTTATACTAAAGAAAGTTAACAAATACACATAATGTATATTTAATGCAGTGCACTTTACCAGTAATGATTCCAAGTAGCACCTTTCCCTGTATTCATCCCTTCACAAAACCCTGGATTGGGGCTGGCACTGTGGCCTAGCGGGTAAAACTGCCACCTGCAGACTGGCATCCCATATAGGCACTGGTTTGATTCCCAGCTGCCCCACTTCTGATCCAGCTTTCTGCTATGGCCTGGGAAAGCAGTAGAAGATGGCCCAAGTCCTTGGGCCCCTGTACCCATGTGGAAGACCCAGAAGAATCTCCTGGATCGTGGCTTTGGATTGGCACAACTCTGGCCATTGCAGCCAACTGGGGACTGAACCAGCAGATGGAAGAGCTCTCTATCTCTCTCTGCCTCTCCCTCTCTCTGTGTGTAACTCTTTCAAATGAATAAATAATATTTTTGAAAAGACCATGAATTTCACCATTTCAATTGATTTACCCCATGAGATACCAGTAAATGTGATAGAAATAGACAATTTGTTAAAATATTTATTTATATGAAAGAGTTACACAAAGAGAGAAGGAGAGGCAGAGAAAAAAGAGAGAGAGAGAGAGAGAGAGAGAAGGAGGAATAAAGAGAGGTCTTCGAACTGCAGGTTCACTCCCCAGATGGCTGCAATGGCTGGAGCTGTGTAGATCCAAAGATATGAACCAGGAGCTTCTTTCAGGTCTCCCACAAGGGAGCAGGGGCCAAAGGACTTGAGCCATCTTCTACTGTTTTTCCAGGCTGTAGCAAAGAGCTGGATCAGAAGTGGAGCAGCCGAGTCATGAACTGACACCCATATGAAATGCTGGCACTGCAGGCGGTGTCTTTACTTGCTATGTCACAGAACCAGCCCCAGAAATAGACAATTTGTAAAGTATTTGCCTTCTCAGATTTTCTTTTTCTGACAGTTATCTTCTGAAAAACCCTGGGGCCTGCCTGTTGAAGAGATAGTATGTAGGCTGGTGCCATGGCTCACTAGGTTAATCCTCCACCCGTGGCACTGGTATTCCAGGTGACAGTCTCAGTTGGGGTGCTGGTTCTGACCCAGTTGCTCCTTTTCCAGTCCAGCTCTCGGCTTTGGTCTGGGAAGGCAGTGGAGGATGGCCCAAGTTCTTGGCCCTGCACCCACATGGGAGACCAGGAGGAAGTGCTTGTCTCCTAGCTTTGGATCAGCACAGCATGCTGGCCATAGTAGCCATTTGGGGGGGTGAACCAATGGAAGGAAGGCATTTCTCTCTGTCTCTCTCTCTCTCACTAACTCAGCCTGTCAAAAAAAGAAAAGAAAGAGATAATATGTAGCCAAGATTCACCACAAACCCCAGACACTTAAGTGAAGCCTCAATCAGTTCCCCAAATGGCTGAACTCTCATTTCTGCTCCTGGACTGATCATAGGAACTGCCCAGCTGAGTACAGCCCAAAACACAGAGTCAGAACTGCAAATCAACTGGCTATTTGTTAAGCCATTGTGTTTTCTGATTTGTCCTACATCAAATGCTGATATATATCAGTAAGTATGGCAGAAAGTTGAATTACATGCAAACTACAATGCATACAACTTCAAAATTTCATTTGGAAGTTCCCATAAAACAGGGCCAGCATTGTCACATAGCAAGTAAACCTGCCGTCTGCAATACAAGCACCCCATATGAGCACTGGTTCATGTTCTGGATCTTCTGCTTTTGATCCAGCTTCCTGCTGATGGCCTGAGAAAAGCAATGGAAGATGATCCAAATACTTGGGCAAATGCTACCAATGTGGGAGATCCAGGTGAAGATCTTGGTTCCTGACCTCATTCTTTCCTGGCCCTGCTCAATGCAGCCATCTGTGATGTGAACAAGCAGAAGGGAGATCTCTCTGGGTCTCTCCTCTATATACAATACTTTCAAATAATTTTTTTAAAAAACTTAGAAAAAAGCTCCTATAAACACAATCTTTGCCTATCAATTAGACCTTAGACGTTTCACCTCACCCTGGTTAGAATGGCTCACATACAGAAATCTACCAACAACAGATGCTGGAGAGGATGCAGGAAAAAAGGGACACTAACCCACTGTTGGTGGGAATGCAAACTGGTCAAGCCACTATGGAAGTCAGCCTGGAGATTCCTCAGAATCCTGAATATAACCCTACCATACAACCCAGCCATCCCACTCCTTGGAATTTACTCAAAGGAAATTAAATTGGCAAATAATAAAGATGTCTGCACCATAATGTTTATTGCAGCTCAATTCACAATAGTTAAGACCTGGAACCAACCCAAATGCTCATCAACAGTAGACTGGATAAAGAAATTATGGGACATGTACTCTATAGAATACTATACAGCAGTCAAAACAATGAAATCTGGTCATTTGCAACAAAATGGAGGAATCTGGAAAACATCATGCTGAGTGAATTAAGCCAGTCCCAAAGGGACAAATAACATATATTCTCCCTGATCTGTGACAACTAACCAAGCACCTAAATGGAAGCCTGTTGAAGTGAAACGGACACTTTGAGAAACAGTGACTTGATCACCCCTTTTCCTAACTATTGATGAACAACTTAATACTTTATCCCTTTTAGTACTTTTTTGTTCTACTTAATACTTTGGTTGAACTCTTTAATTAACACACAATTATTCTTAGGTGTTTAACTTTAACTGAAAAGTGGTCCTTGTTAAATATAAGAGTGCGAATAAGAAAGGGAGGAGATGTACAATCTGGGATATGCTGAATCAGACTTGCCCCAAATGGTAGAGTTAAAAACATGCCAGGGGATTCCAATTCAATCCCATCAAGGTGGCATGTACCAATGCCATGTCACTAGTCAAAGTGATCAATTTCAGTTCAAAATTGATCATAATGATAGGATTAAGAGTCAAAGGGATCACATAAGCAAGACTAGTATCTGCTAATATTAACTGATAGGATTAAAAAGGAGAGAACTATCCAACATAGGAAGCGGGATACACAGCAGACTCATAGAATGGCAGATGTCCTAAACAGCACTCTAGCCTCAGAATCAGCCCTTAAGGCATTTGGATCTGGCTGAAGAGCCCATGAGAGTATTTTAGGC